GTCATTTTCACAGCATTTCAAACAGGCCTGTCAGCAGCTCCTCACTCTCAGCATCCTGCATGTACACTGCAGCTTTCAGGCCTTTTTAACTGTGTGACATTAAATTCACACACGAGCTGGAAAAGAGTAAAAATCAGACACCCCATCTCTACTGGAAGTTACCGGAGTCTCCCGCAGACTGACAGCAGCACATGTTACCGCCGGCACCTCAACACCCTGGCAGGCAGCACTCAGCTGGGGTGGGATCTGACTTAACAACCTACCGCCATATCGCCCCCAGACATTACATGGCGGTATACGTTATTTTGAAAAACAACGCTATTCTGATATTTCCAAATAAAAAAAAAATACAAAAATACCCCGGTATACAGTATTACCGTAATACTATGGAATATAAAGCTATGTTAAAAGCATAACACCAGAGAGACTAACCTTAGAATACAACATTAAGCCAGTGTGGCCTGTAACAGAACATAAGCTCTTTAGAAATTCCCGGCATGTTTCTGCATCACATGGTATTAATTAGATAAGCGTGTTTCTGGGCCTTGGACCAGCTCACACTCCAGGGACAGCTGCAGCACAAACATGCATCATCAGGAGCCAATGCTGTGTGTGTCTGTCGCTCCTATGTACACAATGTTCTCTGGCCTGGACTCTCCCCCTGTGCAAACCCCCCCCATGTGAAATACGGTGTGTAGATGCACAGTAATAATCAGCCCCCCGCAGCTGACACACACAGAGTAGGCAGACATTTCCCAGCCCGTCTCATGGTCCACAGGCGAGTCCCTGTAACCGGGGGCGACGGCAAACGCAGGAATCAGGTCCGGCCTCTTGTGCTTCTGGCGGACAGAGGATGTGGAGGGTGGGGTGATGAAGAGCAGCCACACACTTACACACCGCGCTGCACATCACACCTCCATGTGTGACTGTATATCCTGACCCTCACACACTGACCCACTACAGTGCAGAGGTCTGTACCATGTGGGACGAGCACTAAGGGGGATCTGAGGCTGTTGCTGCCTCTAAGGATGACAGGAGAGCAGCAGACACCCCTGGTGTTTGGTTCATCCCGGAGAGCCAGTTTTGATGTCCAAACTGACTCACTAGGCGGCTCACAATCCACGCCTGAGCTCCAAGCCAGCGAGACGGGCGTCTTACACATTTAAAGTGTGAGAAGAGGCTGAGATCGTTTTGACCCTAAGGTCTCTCATCATTCGCTTTACCAGATAAAAGCGGGAGACTCTGAGCACCAGACATCCAAAGGGAAACTCCACAGTGAATCAGCTACTAGAAGGTTCCGTTAGTCTTTCACTGGGTATCGTCTGAGCGACGGGACGTATGAGTCGACACCGTGCATCATTCCGGCAAACGCTGGGACTGCTGGGAATCGGCGCTATGGCGACACGTTGAAGCACAATGGGGGGGG